ATGACCAGAGTTGCCCTTTAATATGCACTGGCCCTTTAAAAATACGAAAAATGCTATCCGTTTAGTAATATTGATATAATTGCAGTTTTTAGCTTGCTGGGATCTAATGTATTGATGTATGGTATAATTTTTGTAGATTTAGATTGCTTTTTATGGTTTTAGATGGACAATTGGCTCTGCACAAGTAATTGTGCAGGGTATAAAATGTCAGCCAATGGTGACGCACGTCCTTCTAATCCTGGAGAACATTGGATGATGAAACGCGTAGGGAGGGGCCTAAGAGTTGATGTCACCACGTATGGGTGAGATGCCATTTTCTGTTGAGACCAGAGCAAACCTATAACTATTAACTTTCTATGCACTATATGCTAGTGTCAGCTTTGACACAGTTAAATGTGAGTGGTTTTAATACGTTTTGTACTGAATAAATGCCTGGATGGTTTTACAATATGCGGATTCTTTTTTTCTTTCTTTATGGTCCCATTCTGAGTATATGAGGAGCCAATTGTTATTTGAAAGAGTTTCAATCAGCTGGTGTGTGCTTCTGCAGATCGTTGCTCCCAGAGCTTAAGTGGTTGTAGCTGGTTTATAATTTTACCAGCATGGAGCTCTGGTGAGTGGATTCAATTCATTTGGTGGTGGATTTTCACTGTGCTTTTGGTTACATTATACAAGAGTTTAATATAAAGTATTGAAAAAGATATATTGTTTCACGAACATTATTTTTATGAATATTATTATTTATATGGACTTTTTTGTTGGACACTAATTCATTCGTCTATTCACAGAATTATTTGTCACATTTATTTGCCTTGTTTGGTATCACCTGGTATATAATTTATTTTATTTATACACCATTATTTATTGATTTTGCTGAGTTCACTCATTCAGAGATATATTAATTTGAGGAGCGCTGCCTTTAGTTTTTTTGTTGTTATATATGTACCTTGCTTAGCAGGGGTGAGATAGCGGCTCCTCCTGGACACTTGGTTGCCTTGGGGCCCGGTGCCCAACCATCAGCATTGGATTAGGGACCCTTGCTTTTATTAAACTCTGCTCAAAGCAACCCTCATGCCACATTAACATCAGCATAGTAGAGAGTGTGTGTTTGCAGCTTCCTTGCTATGAACATATAAATCCACAGTGGTTGTGCTTGGATGAGTTAGATTATAAACTGTGTACTTTACTGCTGCCATTGTATTATCCCGGTATTAAACATATTTCAAGATTAATGCCCCATGAGGCTTCTCCATTCCTTTATATATGTGGATGCAGTGGCTGTGAATACCATTTAATATGGTCTTATGCTGATGATCCATGCTGGGTGGATGACCTTTTGAGCAAGTTACTTGAGTGTTACCTTTTCATGACTGTATTTAGATCTCTAGATTTAGATCTAGTGCTGAGATCTATTATTTTGGTAAGCAGCTTTTCATGGCTTCAATTAAGCACTGGAGCACTTTATTGGAATATTTTTCTGGCACTGTGAACACTTTTCATCACAGGATTTCATCGATTATTAATTGAGACTTTTTTTTATTTTGTGGGACTATTTTTTAGGTTTATTCATTTTTATTGTTTTTTTGTGATTGAGTTACATACTTTCTGCACTTTTTTTATTTGACGTTTTGTTACATATATTTTTTGCATTGCTTGGGACTTTTACATTTAGAGCTCTTTACACATTATATATTTACACTTTATATATTTTTTGCACTTTTTTGAGTCATGTTTAGATCATGTTGATGCCATTTCTTGATTTATATGGTTAATTTAGTGGGTCCTGTCTTTCTAATTACACAGTGTAAGTAGGGTATTCAGGCATTTATAGATGCTTCTGCCAATTTAAATCTCAGCATGAGTTTTATACTTTATTTTTAAATAAAAGTTTGCATGCCTTGTGGGTCTGGTACATTAGCTTTAGTGTGTGGGGGGGGGGCACATTTTTTTTTTCAAAACTATAAATAGGCAGGCACTTCCTCAATAAAATTACAACATATGCATATGTGTCATGTAACATAAAAGTTGAAATACAAATATATATATAGGGCTCTCCCAACACCACATGTAATAGCGAATATAATACAGGTTAAGGTAAAGTCCAGAAAATGTAAATGAATGAGAGTCCCATAGGAGGGAGTCACATTGATCCAATAGGTTCTTCTCCACCACTTGTGAGTGATAAATAAATTTCCCACTCACCAGAAAAGTGTTGACCCTCCACTCTAGGTGGTCAAATAACACTAGAAAAAACAAATAACATGAATTCACATCTGTAGGCTCTCATATGGTGGGTTCCAGGCTCCCCTTCTTGTAGTAGTAGCTCTCAAAGAAGCTTAGAATAGAACAATCTCCATAAAATGTGCTCTAATTGTAGTATTTATTGGGAACCATGGTTCATAAATTAAGTAAAAATGCACTCACATTGTATAGTGCCTGTATCCTGGCACCAGTCTGTACAGCCAATGTGGGGGCAACATGTCTCTCTGTGTTTAGCCAGCGTGCGTTTCAAGCCTCGTCTTAGTGAGCCGGATGTGACGTCATGTAAGACCCAAAAGTGACGGGATCACGCTTCTACATATGTTTCACCTGGGAAATGTAGAAGCGTGATCTATCACAGCATGAGGAAATTATTGCCGATAACCGGCAACTGTCATAGAGAGCATCTGCACTGATAATCAGGGGCACTGATAATCAGTGCCCTGATCATCAGTGCCACCCATCAGTGTCCAACTGTGCCACCTTTCAGTGCCCAGCAGTGCCACCCACCAGTGCCCAGCAGTGCCACCCATCAGTGCTACCCAGTCAGTGCCGTCCAGCAGTGCTGCTAGTCAGTGCTGCCAGTCAGTGCCGCCAGTCAGTGTTGTCAGTCAGTGCTGCCAAGCAGTGCCACCCATCAGTGCCCCTAACTGTCACCTATCAGTGCCCATCAGTGTGCCGCCTGCCCCAGTGCCGCCTATCAGTGCCCATCATTGCTGCATATCAGTTCAGCATCATCAGTGCCTCCTCATCAATGCCCACCAGTGCCGCCTCATGAGTGCCATCTCATCAGTGCAACCTATCAGTGCCCTTCAGTACTGCCTATCCATGCCACCTCATCAGTGCTCATCAGTGCTGCCTATCAGTGCCCATCAGTGCTGGATATCAGTGCAGCTTCATCAACGCACATCAGTGGAAAAATAATTACCTGTTTGCAAAATGTTATATTAAAAACAAAGAAAACATGTTTTGCTACTTTTTTTTTGTTTGATAGCGCAAAAAAAAAACCACCCCAGTGGTGATTAAAAACCACCAAAACAAAGCTCTATTTGTGTGAAAAAAATGATAAAAATGTCATATGTGTACAGTGTTGCATGACCGCGCAATTGTCATTCAAAGTGCAACAGCACTGAAAGCTGAAAATTGGCCTGGGCATGAAGGGGTAAAAGTGCCTGGTAGGCAACTGGTTAAATAATACCCTACCAAGTGCAAAGAAAATAAAAAAACAGTGTTTTTGCTTACACATGATTGGATGATGGAAGTGAACAGCTATTTTCCTTTAGTAAATCAACTCCACACAATAAATGTTCACCAAAACATTTTGGGTAAATATTGGGCAAAATCATTGAAAACTACTTTAATTAGTGTTCTTTCTATATGTGTTTTAATTTTTATTGTATATGTGATCGTTGTTTGTGTACTGTTTCTTTATCTTTTTCATTTTACCTTTTTTTCATTGTCTGTTTATATTTTTTCTGTGAAAAAAAAACGGAATAACAAGACTAACAAGGAGTCATTTTTGACAAAAGAATAGGTCATGGGTGGTTGAAAGGAGCTTTCTGAACCCTCAGAAGCTATTTATTTATCATTACTCCCTTTAAAACACTGAACTCCACCATCATTTGGCCTTTCTTATGGATTACAATTTCACTGAAATGACCAATTTTTTTTTTTAAATCCCTGATTGTGGCTGGAATAATGGAGACATTTCCCTTTTTTGTGTGTGTTAAATCAGTATTTGCACACAGTCTCTTAACAATGTTATTTTACTTTATTTAAATTTTTTTCACTCTTCAAAAAAAGAACAATCATTAGGCAAATGAGGGGCTGTTTTTTTGGCACAAAAACAGTTCAAGGACATTTCCAAGGAGTTTCCTGAATACTCTGAAACCATTTAGATCCAATTGCACCCTTACAAACCATCAAAAATCACCCTCATCATTGCAATGCATTCCTTGAAATAGCCAAGTTTTGTTTAAATCTCCAATTATATTTTTATTGCTGAAATTACGAGCAAATTAAAACTCAAGTTCTAGTATCCCAACCAAGTGGTTGTGAAATGTAACATGTTGTCTGCATTCTACACTGATATCAAACTGCTGCTTTTCCACATTCTACTGAGCACTGAGATATATCATTCTTTATAAGCTGTAATATTTGAATATTTCCTGCTTTACATAGTGAGACTCTGAGATTATTTCCCTATAGATTTCATGTTATATAAACAGTTTACCATGAAGGTCAATGATCTGTGTGAGTGACAGACCAGACCCATCAAGATGCTTCCTCTGACATATCTACTCTGTGTCTTCTATGTCTACATCCAAGGTATATTTTGTGTTTGTTTTATCAGATGTAAAATAATAAATAGGAACAGAAAAGTTAATTGTATTTTATCGGATAATTTAGCAGATTAAGAAAGAATCTAAATAATCAAAAAAAAAAAAAAAAACAACCTCTGAGAAAATGTTTAGCATGCAATTATTGAATGGGGAATGTTGTTTAGCATTCTGGTTCATTGCAAACAGAACCTAAATCTTTATATACAGCTTAGGTGTTATGCACAGAAAATGTTGCCTCTGATGATGAAGTCTATTGATATTCAATATGTCTCTTCCTATCCTCAGGATCCTGTGGAGAGATTGTGATGACTCAGACTCCGGATTCTGTCTCTGTGTCCCCGGGACAGACGATCACCATCACATGTACTTCTAGTAAAGATCTATATTATTCTACAGCAGGAGCTCACTTAATAGCCTGGTACCAAAAGAAAGCAGGACAACCTCCTAAACTTCTTTTGTATCACACCAGTAATCGAGCATCTGGGATTGCAGATAGGTTCAGTGGATCTGGATCAGGAACTCAATTTACAATGACGATAAAAGGAGTGACTGAAGATGATGAAGGACATTATCATTGTCAACAGTATATAGAGATCCCCTCTCACACAGTGATACAGAGCCCTACAAAAACCTCCTTCCTCTTTTTGATGTTAAGGGGATCTCCCAGTAGTCACCTGTTATTTACTTGCAGTGATATCCCCGGTAATTATCTCATGTTTACCCACCTGAATAACTTCCTATCTGTTACACAGCCAATGTTGTCATTTTATTATTAAAATAAATGAACAAAGTAAAAAAAAAAAAGTCAAATATTATCAGTAAACAAACATACACACAATTGCTCTTGTTGAATGTTAGGAAGACTGTAGTATTACAATGGACTTCTAAAGACTACAGCACCTTTGGATATCAAGGAAACGGCTAGTCTTAGAGGGGCCACTGATAGTATGCCCAGATCTCCCTTACTAGTACAGAGGCTGCCCATCCACAAACACAGTTTTATGCACCGCAACAATCCAGGCTCAGACTACGGGATGTCTTTTTACTATTCATTGCTGAAGGTTTCAGTGATCAGCATGTTCCAAAACAATAGAAGAAATCAACGGAAAGGCAGATTTCTCACTAATTTATATAGCAGCCTTTCCAGGAGGTAACAGGGAAATGGCCAGTATATTTAAGAGTATGTAAGAGCAGTCCCAGACCACAGCAAAATCTTTACTCACAATGTCCCAGGAGCTGTCTGCACCCCCCCACAGGTAGTTCCCCAGTGAGGAAGGATCTAACTCATCCAGCTTCCTGACTTTCCTTGTGATGCCTCCACTCATATTGTGACAACTCTGAACCACTCCATTAATACTGCTCTACTTCCTCAGTGACATTACTAGCCTCAAACTTAGGTGATCCAGGGTCGGTTCCCTGATCACTGCCCTCTAAAACAGGCTCAATTTCCTTTGTAACAAGCAGAGTTTCACCTGATTCAGCAGCGTAAGACATGGTCACAGGTGCCAGTTCCTCCAGTTCAGCAAACGTGAGCTGGGTCACAGACACTTGTTCCTCCACAGCAACAGGCTTCAGCTTGCTAGTGCAGGGCTACCTACTCATGTACAGTACAGCTATCTGGGGATGCTGCTCTTTACTAGGACATATCCCACCACTTTCAGTCCCAGCTCTGAAGTGGGGCCAAACTGTTCTGTAGGGATGGTTGATAGTGAAGTAGATGAGACTTCCTTCCTCCTGGTGCGCTGAACTCCGCACCTTGGTGCACAAGCCCTAGCTTCAATCCACCAGAAAAGTGGTAGCCAGCAGATTGTGGACCAGCATATTTAGCAAAGGTTCTCCTCAATGCCTACATCAACTCCAGGGTCTCATCGCAGCTGTAGGTTTCCAGCAGCTCCTACAATATAAGACATAGGCGTTCGGCTCCCAACACGTTGCCCAGAGACATCCCCAGTGCACCAGCTGTACACTGTTGTCAGTTTGGAAGTTCTGGGCCTCAACCAGCCCCCCTGAAGCAGTAGTATTCTCAGATGCAAGTATTCTATATATATTCGATATTCAAAAAAGCCATCTTGATACACTTGCTCAACATGGATGTGAGGTGGTATCAAAAAGTTTTGAGATTAGCTCTGTTTACAAGAAAGTACTTTATCTACGTTTCCACACTTATCACTTTCAAAATAGTCCCCTTGCACAGCACAACAGCACTCCCAGCATTCCACCCTCTTCTGGAATGTGTCCTGGAAGTCTTCCTTTAAAAGCATGTCAGTGATGTCAAAACAACGACCTTTGAGCTGGATCTTCATGTTTGGGAAGTGGATGAAGTCCACAGGAGCCAAATCTGGCAAGTAGGGTGGATGCAGAAGTGAGATCATTGCAGCCTGAGGATGAACTTGGCAGCAACACGGCGCATGTTCAAATCGCACATGAAGATTGTCTGGACTGTTCCATATGAGACACAAACAATGGCAGCAATGTTGTGGATTGTTCTCCAACGATTATCATGCCGAATGGTTTCGACATTTCGGCATCTTCGCAGGGTTGAGCTTATAGAAGGTCTTCTTGATCTTTGGTCATCTTCTAGTGATGTTCTTCTGCTCTTCAAGTGCATGTGCTACTCAAAACACCTCAAATGACTCATTGCAGCATCACCGTAAACTTGCCGAATCATGTCAAACATCTCTGTGGCACATTTTCCTAATTTCACACAGAATTTCCCGTTTGCTCTTTGTTCTAACTTTCTGTTCATGATGAAATAGCAGATGTGGTAATGACCACGGTCAGAATAACACCAGATGCACAGCTCCCGATGGACACAGTACAATGCCTTTTGACACACTGACTTATGAAGGTCGATGTTCCATGTGACTGTGCGTGCAGCCTTGTGCTGCCATCTGTTGGCATGTTACAAAACTAGTCTCAAAATGTTTTTTATGCCACCTCCTATCTCTGTACTGAGGTCAGTAGCTCTAACCTTCTTCTGCAGTCACTCTCGTGCCAAAGATTCTCTCCCAGCAGGCAGACTTCTCCCACTCTGTGTATTAACTCTTCACTTGCATACAGAAAATGGACCCTGTCCTGGCCGCTGTCTTTTCTGGCAAACTGCACTGTCCACAGGTGACAAACACTGTAGTAACCCTCTCTTGTTATACAAAATTCAGACAGTCCATAGAAACACCCCAAATTCACAATCTTCTCTCGATTGCTATAGGCAGGTTCAGCATGTACCAGACTGATATCCAGAGAGAGATGAGCCCCCACATGTAGTGCTTAACCCCAGAGGGGGGCCATAAGTATATGCCCAGGAGTTTTAACAGTGTTGAAAATGGGATGCCTGCTCTTCCTTCCTATTATTTGCCAGCACTGGATCAGATGCCATGGGACGCCTATAGACATCATTGAAACATGGAAGATAAAAATTAGTTTAAAAATTATAATAACATTTTTTTCTTGGTTGCTATTGTGTCACATTTTTATTGTTTGCTTATCTGCACAGTGTACTGGTTAGAGGTTCGGGGGACCTTTGAAACAAGTTCACCAGAGATGGGGTGACTACCCACTTGCCACTAGGGGGCAAGTAAATGTTACACAGGACCCCCTTGCTGGTATTCCCTCCTGGGCACAAGGTTGCCATAGGGCCCGGTGCTCATCAGCATTGTGTTTTGGGAGAGGGACCCCTACTCAAAGCACTTCCTATGCCAGATTAGTATCAGCTAAGTAGGGGGTCTGTGTGTTTGCAGCTTCCTAGCTATGAGGATAGGTAGGTAGGGGGCCACGTTGTGGATTTTTTATATTAAAATGATAGAAAATACCTTTGTTTTAATTTAGTTTCAGCACTCTCCACAGACAATCTATGCAGTTTCAGTAAAATAAAGTAACAATTCCACAGCTCAAGCCAGGGAAATTTAGTAAAAAATAGCTTGAGAAAATATCAAGTGAGCAAACAGTGATGGAAACATTCACCTTTTTTTTTTCTTCCAGGTAAATGTTACAGTGAAGACCTTTTCTTGTTGAAGAAGAGCTATTGTGGAATACTAGGGAATATCACTGAGTGAATCACGGGGAAATCTTGGATGAGTTTCAGTGCTGGTTCACATAGATGAAGATTGGATGTGGTTTGAACTGCATCCAATCTGCATGGCATGTGAAAAATCTTTGCTTCCTATGGTGCCTATTCATGAACTGTATGTCTGGTGCACTGGCAGTGTGGATTCAGTATGGTTTTAAAAAGAGTCCTGTATGATTTCTGAGCAGTGCAGTGCTGTTCAGGTGCAGATTATAGGCTACTGACTTCTAAGGGAATCCTGAGCTAATCCTGTCCATGTTTTGCTGAAGGCAATTTGGCTAATCACTGTAATGAATGGGGTAAAATGTACTACTTAATTACTTTTTGTCTGCTAACATGTTCTTATGTATAACCTTGCAGATATGTGAATGAGATGCAACAATTAAAACAACTCAAAAGTAGTAGTATAAGGAATTTTCTTAGTAAAAGTAGTAAAAAGAATCTACTTAGCTCAAGTTAAAGATGTATTGCAGATGATAAAATAGGTAAATAAAGCATCATTCAAGTCCAGAAGAAGCCCATACTTTCATTTGAAATTCCTGGAAGCAACAATCATCTTTTCCCAGGAGCTCTGTCCTGTGCCCTGGGTGAGCTCACTTTAGTTTTTGTTGTACACAAGTATATATACAGTACCAAGTGAACAATGGTGAAAACACAGAATATATATATATATTCAGTGATTACACTCAATGATTACCTATAAACTGCCATAATCAGTAAACATAAAAATATGAATACGTTTCTTGTAAGTGAATAACTATTAAAAACCTATATTATATTATAACCCACTAAGGAAACTTTTACTTTGCAAATTCATTTCTCTTAGTTTATGGGATGTGGTGAAAATGCACTTTGAAAAGAATACGTAATCAAGTACATGAGAAAAGAAAAAGCAGTATTTTTTCAAACACATGATTGGATGATGGAAGTAACCAGAGGTTCACCTCTTTCACTAAGTTCTGGGGAAAACTAACTTCCGAAGTTAGAATGATCTTTTTTTTCTAGGTATAACACTCCCCATAGACAGTCCGTGCAGTTTCAGTTAAAAATCAATAATTTCACATCTCAAACCAGGAGAATTTAGTAAAAAATAGCTTGAGAAAATATAAAGCGAGCATATGGAGAAGGTAGCATTCACCCTTTTCATCCAGGTGAATGTTACAGTGAAGACTTTTTCTAATGAAGAACAGAATGCTGGGGAATATCACTGAGTGAAACTTGGCGAATCTTGGCCAAAGCTTGGAAATGTCTCAGACTCTTAGGATTGATATTCCAAAGGTAAATAGGTTGTTTATTTTGCAAGAGAAGTTTTACTTTGAAAGGGAATTTTTCTTTAGTGAATGTGACTAATATTCACTTTGAAAACAATACCCAACGAAGGAATCAAGGAAAAATTAAAAAAAAACAGTAATTTTTGCTTGCATATGATTAGAAGTCACCAGAGCTTCACCTCATTCACTAAGCTCTAGGGGAAAACTCCCCTGCAAAGTTAAAATTCCCTTGCAAAGTGATAAATCTATTTGCCTTTAGTAGATCAAACCCACAAAGTAAATGTTCACCAAAACATTTTGGGTAAAGGATAGACAAAATTCATAGAAGACTTCACCCCTAGAATTTTTTTGCATGTGTGTTTTTTCCTGTTTATTGTGCATTTGATTGTTATTAGTGTACTGTGTCTTTACCTTTTTGATTTGACCTTTTTCATTGACTGTT